CATCTTTAGGCATCTGCTTTGGAATCTTGTATGTTTGATGTATTGGTAAGTGTGTTCCTAATTGACGAGTGATTTTTTCCGTGGAGTCAGTTATGATAAGTTCTGTTCCCTCAAAGTGTTGACACCACAGGCTGGATAGGTGAAATATTTCAGATGTTGCCTTTCATCCAAACCTGTCACTCTGCCAAGGATTTCATCTTCTACACATTCCATAAGTATTTAATAGCTGGATCATACATAGACTGTCAAGTACTAATAATTGTTTTCTTCATAAAAGCCATCTTTTGAGAGTACTGACTTCACAGAATCACAGAATGGTAGAAGTTGGAAGAGACCTCTAGAAATCATCTAGTCCAACCCCCCTGCTTAAGCAGGGACATGTAGAGCATGTGGCACAGGGTCACATCCAGGCAGGTTTGGAAGATCTCCAAAGAATCTCTCAATCTCACAATCTCTCTGGGCAGCCTGTTCCAGGGTGCTGTCACCCTCACAGCAGAGAAGTTCTTCCTCACATATGGAGGTGGAACTTCCTGTGTTTCAACTTGTACCCATTACCCCTTGTCCTATCACTAGCCACCTCCAAGAAGAGTTTGGCCCTATCCTCCCTACATTCTCCCCTCAGGTACTTATACAAATTGACCAGATCTCCTCTTCCTCTTCAGTCTTCTCTAGGCTACACAGGCCCAGCTCGCTTAGTCTTTTCTCATGACAGATGCTCCAGTCCCTTAATCATCATTGTTGCTCTAGGCTGGACCCTCTCTAGAAGTTCCACATCCCTCTTGCACTGGGAAGCCCAGAACTGCACCCAATACTCCAGGTGCAGCCTCACCACAGCTGAACAGAGAGGCAGAATGCGCTCCTTCAGCCTGCTGGCAACGCTCCTCCTGATGCAGGCCAGGATCCCATTGGCTTTCTTGGCCATGAGGGCACACTGCTGCCTCATGGTTAATTTGTTGTCAATCAGGACTCCCAAATCCCTCTCCATGGAGCTGCTTTCCAGCAGGTCAACCCCTAATCTGTCCTGGTGCCTGGGGTTATTCCTCCCCAGGTGCAGGAGCCTGCACTTGTCCTTCTTGAACCTCAAGAGGTTCCTCTCTGCCCAGCTCTCCATCCTGTCTAGGTCCCTCTGAATGGCAGCACAGCCCTCAAGAGTATTGGCCACTCTACCCAGTTTTGTATCATCCTCAGTCTTGCTAAGGGTGCACTCTGAGTCCTAGTCCAAGTCACTGATGAACAAGTTGAACAGTCCCAGGCCCTGTACTGACCCCCCTGGTCTACAACTAGACTTGGCCCCATTTATCACGACCCTCTGAGCTCCGCCATCCAGCCAGTCCTCAATCCTCTTCACAGTCCACTTGTTCAGTCCACACTTCCAGAGCTTTCCTATGAAGATGTTACGGGAGACTGTGTTGAAAGCCTTGCTGAAGTTGAGGTAGACAACATCCACTGCTTTCCCCTCATCCATCCAGGCAGTCATCCCATTGTAGAAGACTTCTACAAACTGGCACTCACTGGAAGCTACTGTATGTGCAAGGGGTCAGCAGTGCTCTTTGCTGCATGGCCATTTTTGCAAAAAGCTTAAATCTGTTTCTGCAACCTGGGATTTTTTTAACTAGGCTAATTGTCGTCTGCCTGTGCTTTATCCAGACTTAGGACTAAGCGATTGTATTAAATCAGAGCACGCTGACAGTGTGCTTCCATTGTTTTATGCTCATCAGTTGGGCTGTATGCTGTGCTTATATGGTACTTATACTGCAACTGCACCAAGGCAGTTGGCCCCTGGTCCCCATCTACACCATACTTTATAAAATGATCTATACATAGTATTATAGTGGCATCAGTAGATCTTGCCGTTTCACCAGCAATCATATTGGTTGTTTGTAGAGAGAAAGCTGTGCATTTTTAGAGCTGAAAATAGAAATCACTTGTACTAGAGCTAAAAAATCAAACTCTGTAGGCAAGAGCCCTAAAAGACTGGGATAATTTTTGAAACAAATGTAAAGATGATCTGTTGCTCATTAAGTACAAGCAGAGGCATGAAACAACATGAAAACAAGCTTGCATCCTTGTAGACATTAAACAACTCTGTGATAACACGCCCTGAAGAACAAGGCATTAACGCGGAAAATGACAAAGGCAACTAAGCTCAGCTTTCAGTACCTAACTTTTAGTATTTGTCTTAGTAGTGAAGTCTTCATACCTGATTTAGATGCTTCAAGTCTTGCTTGACAGGGTGTAAGAGACATAAATTAATCTCACAGAACAGGATCCTCAAGCACCAACAAGCTGAGCAGCAAGGCACAAGAGAGAGTTACTAAGGGCTCTCTCCCTTTAAAACATACCCACTTGGCTATGGCCTAGACCCTTCCCTGTAGCTGCTACCTAAACTGTTTTCATGTAGTTAATGCCTAAATTATTTCCAAGTCTGAAGAGAGGCCATACTTTCCTTTTAGAAATACTTGGAAATAGAAGAAGCTCTTTTATACAACAGATGTATTATAATGGACCATTCAACCATGATAAGGAAAACTTAAGCTTATGACCCTTTCACTGCTGGTGCATACTTCTATACCTCTCCTTAGTTCCCTAGCGTAGGTAAAGTAAGCACAGACTGAGTCAGGAGGAGTTAGTGCTACAAAGATAAGAAAAGTAAAGACGGAGATAGCTAGATAAAAGTAGTACTCTCCATTCTGTGCAGAACTATGCTCATGCTTCCTGACTGATCTTTCAAGGCAAGTAGACAAGTTATATATATGTAATAAGTTGGTGGCAGTCTTGCATGGCAAAACTGAAGCCTCCTTAACTTTCAGATTCACTCTGAGTATTTAAGTCTGCTTAGATTTATATATATAATGTATGAAAATCTGACCATTTGTATCCCTAGCAAATGATCCAATGGTTTTACGCATAGGTGCACAATCTGGTGCTCTCTAAGATCACAAGGCACAGCACAGGGGCTAGAGGAAGTACAAGGCACTGAGGATGAGAAGATTGACAACTACTTTTCTTCAAAACCATGTTTTTGACTAATATACATGAAATATAGCTTAATTTATCTGTTGGTCTAGCCCACAGTCACACAGGAAATCTGCAGTGGAGGACAACCAAACTCTTAAGCACTAGTAGGACCACTGCAGTGATTTTAGGTTTGCTTTAGGCAAACCACTTAACTGAATACATAGACTGTAAATAATACATAAGACTAAGAAAGAAACACCTATCTGATACTTAAGGATAGAACTACATAGA